GACCCCGGAGTCCACGGGGCAGGACAGCGGGGAGGGGACAGGTGGAGGAGTCGGGGTGGCGTGACCCGCGGCGGGAGGACTCGGGAGGTACGTTCCAGAACAGGAGGCCCTCGCAGGCCTGCGGCAGAGGCAGGACTCGGCGGTGTCCTACGGAGGACGGCAGGTCCGTGGCCGCGCGGTGGCAGCCGGGGAGGAAGCCACCCGCAGCTGTCCTTGCAAGGAAGCGAGGGGCTGCTCCAGCAGCGGCTGTGTTGCTTTGAAGGCTTTGTCCTGCAGAAAGCTAAGGTGATTTCAAAACTTCGGGATCCTGGAGAACCCTTTTGCTCACTGAGTGACACTTTCCAAGGTCTATGAAATACAACGTGGTCTTCCAAAACTGGGCGTTGGCTGCCGATGCCTAAGGAAATGCAAGTGAATGGCAATTGTCCAAGGACACGTCTGTCTTCCTCTGTGAGGTGTCGGCCTCACTGCACTGCCCCGGAGAGCCACTCCAGGGCCAGGGACTCTATGGGTTCGCCAGACAGGGCCCCCGGCCATCTCGGTGCCCTTTCCCAGCAGTTCAGACATTCAGCCAGGATATTTGTCACTCTTTTTAAAGGCCTTCCCAAGCCCTCTGCTCTGAATTGCCCTGGCCTGCTACTGACAGCACGTCCTGCTCCCTTAATGATCTGGTTCCAGGTGACCTTGGGGATAACGGACTAGACAGGCACATTTTATGACTGCAGAGGTCAGTAGAAGGCATGGCCCAGCCACAATGCCACAAGACAGCACGACCCAAAGAACCCTGGGCCAAGCTTCTCCGCTACCCCAGAGTCACGTGAACCTCTCTTTGCAGTTTCTCCTTAGAGTCCAGTACAGCATCCTGGGACGGTAACTGTTGTTTGGATGAAGGTGACCGCCGCTGGACTGGCATGTGGTACCTGACGTTTTTCCAGAACCTTGTCTTTGCAGACTGCGATCCCTCTGTAAAATCTCCTGACCAACGGATGGCCCCATGTTTCCGCTTAATGAACTGAATGGATTCTGGCATTTTCGCATAGTCTTGGATCTTCTCCAGCTCAAGCAGGACAACTTTAATTCCATCCTGAACGAGAGCATTATACATGGCTATTTGCTCTTCTGAGGAACTACCCAGCCAGCTGAAGCCTGATGTTTCTCTGACCAAAATGATAATCAGCCTCCTGCTTTTCTTTACGTTTTCATTAGTGACCTTAACAATGTCTGAAAAACATGAAGCACAACATAGAAATTTCAATTTATAATCATTACCTCCAGAACCAAAACCTCATAGGGTTCTTCCCCACCCATCCCCTATATTTCTTGCCTTCCTTAAGATTAAAGGAGTTTCCCATTTTATAGAATGGCTCAAGAATTGGCCCACAAAAGTCAAATATATCATTTAGAACTCAGAAAACTTTCAGTCAAAAATTTTAAAACTTGGGTCGGCCCGGTGGCGCTGCGCCGCTTGGGAGTGTGGTGGTGCTCCTGCCGAGGGTTCAGATCCCACATACAGACTGGTTCCCGCTCATTGGCTGAGCAAGGTGCGGGAGCAACACCGAGGGTTGCGGTCCCGTTGCCGGTCCCAGTCCGGTATGGGCGCGACACTGAGGGTTGCGGTCCGTTGCCGGACACGAAAAAAGAGAAAAAGGAAAAAAAAAAATTTTTTTAAAACTTTTTGTTAAATCATTGATCTATTCCACTCCAATTTTATTATAATTATTGGATCTAATTAGTAATTAAGTTTTCCAAAACTAAACAGAAATTAATTATTGCTCCAACAATAAGAGAAGTGAGTACTTTGCATTCAACAAATGTGAAAATCATCATCAAACACCACTAAAAAGGTTCTTAAAATTGTCAAATATGTGTACTGATGCCATAGTCTTTGGAAAGATAGAACCCAAACTTTGGCAATTACTTTTACAGCAAGCCTTTTCTTTTATTCCATGACATACATACCTTCCCCAACGTAGTCATCCCTTCCATAAATAAACAGCTTGTATCCACACTGTCTTTCCAAGACCTCAGGCAAGACTTTAAACACAAAAATATCTGAGTTAGAGGTGGACCCTTCCCCAAGGGTCTTTGGATATAGTATATATGCATCATAGGTCTTTCCATCTGAAGCTAAGGGGAAAATGTAATATATTTAGAACCAAAAGGAAAAATAAAAAATCTGGTAAAGTCAATATCAAACGTGCATTTCTTAATGAATTAATATTTTTTGCACAATGGCCCAATTAAAGCAGCAATACAAAAAGTATAATGCCTTTTTAAAGCATTTCTCTCTTACAAGGTTTCTATTTACTGTGTTTTACTATAAAGTTGTCCTTATATTGTGTTTGAGGGCCACCTCACATACTGCCAGTATGGAACTATCCTGTTCTCACCTTCTTCCCCCAATGCCTCGGTCTTCAATTCTTCCCATTCTTCCTTTCATATATTATTGTGGTATTAGTTTTTTGCAAGGTTTAAACAGAAAAAAAAGAGAAAGCCTCCTCAATGCATGAAAATCTAATCACTTCTTTCATTTGAAGGCAGATTGTGGAGGGATCTATGTCCTAACCAGTCCAGAGGAGTCCTCAACAATGGCTTCTGAATAAATGAATTTATAAACAGATGCTCTAAACACCTGTTTATCCTACCAGTATGAATGCTAAAGTAACTTAGAAAACAATGATATTCAACCTAGCCAGTTATAAAACTATAATCACGTGTTAGAATAACTACTATTCTTGTATATGCATCTTTCATTTTGAAACTATTCCCTCTCTCCAACAAGAAAATATCACATTGAATATAAAATTATACCTTTTTTCATGAGGAAATCATAGCAAGAATCCCTGTACCAAAGAACAATGTCAACCTTGAAGATTTTATAGATGAAAACAGAGCATGTAATTATGATTATTAATGTGACAAACACACCAATCGTATGCTCCTGGAAATCAGGGACTACAGCAGAAAAGAGAGGAAAAAATATTAGAACCAAAACAAAATAAAAATTTGAGCATAGCAAATTGAACATTTGCATCCCAGAGAAACTATATTTGGGATTGGCCTGCATTCAGACAGTATTAACTATTCATTATTATCACTTAATAATGGATACCAATGTACAAAGCAATCTATATATAAATACTATATAAAATTAAGGTGCATTGTATTAAATTTCTACCTACATAGCATAATGCACAATAACACAGAAAAAATACCAAAAACCAGACTACAGAGCACTCCACAGTAAAAACAAGCAAAAGCCAAAATCACCCAAAAGCCTACAAAAGTTCACTGAGGTAGGAGAGTCAGTTGGGAAAAGCCAAAGCTGGGCTAAAGGAAAGATGGGGATTTAGGGAATGTTTCACATTTCCATATCTTTCTGGCCTCTCTGCAATTATTCATCCAATGATTACAGAGCAGAAAGGGGAGAGGGAAAAGGTGGGGATGGGGAAGGTGAGGTGGAGGGGGCTGGAGAAGAAGAAAAAAGAAGAAGAAAGTGCCTTCTAAATGTCAGGGACCATGTAGGCATCCAAAAAAGAAAATCTAAAAGCTTTACTATTTTACTTTTCCAATTTAGATCTTTGATCCATCTGGAATTAATTTTGGTGTGAAGTAGAAATCATCATATATCATTTTCCAGACCAGTATCAACTGGCCCAAGTGATAGCACACATTTACAGTCTTAATTACTATAGCTTCATACAAGATCATGATATTTGTAATATAAATCCTCCAGATTTACTCTTCTTAGTCCTTTACATTTCCATATGACTTTTAGAATAAATCTGCCCATTTATTATACATGTGCCCCACAGATCCCATACAAACCCACAGCCACACTTGCACAAACACTGTTGAGATTTTGATGGGAATTGTTCTAGATCTATAAGGAGAAATAACATCTTTATTAAATTTAGTCTTTCAATCTATGAGCATTGTATACCCCTCTATCTATTTAGGTCTTTTCCAATTTATCTCAAAAATGGTTTTTTAGTTTGTATTGCAGAGGTCTTGAACAGCTTTTACTAGATTTCCTTTTAAGTATTTGATGATTTTTAATGCTATCATAAATGTTATCTTTTAAATTTAATTTCTATTTTTATGTTCTTGGTATTTAGATATACACAGAAATTATACACACACACACACACACACACACACACAAGATCTCCCTAATAATCTTGCTAAATTCATTTACTAATTCTGATAGTTTGTCTGTAGGTCCTTTTATATATTTTTCCATGTACATACAAGGGGTCTTCAAAGAGTTCATGGAAAGATTTGTATTATATTTTAATTCTATTTTTCCTCAAACTTTTTGAAGTCCCTTCATATTTATAAATACTCTATTTTTAATTCAACTACCAATAACCTTAAAATGTTTCATGAATTTTTTTTTCCTTTTTTTTGTCTTTTTTCGTGACCGGTAACGGGATCGCAATCCTCGGTGTTGCGCCCGCACCGCGCTCAACCAGTGAGCAGACCGGTCTCTATATGGGATCCGAACCCTTGGCGGGAGCGCTGCCGCGCTCCCAAGTGCCGCACTCTATGGAGTGCACCACTGGGCTGGCCCCTTCATGAATACTTTTAATACCATGTTTGATTTTACCAATTCATGAAGATCAATAACTTCTGACATCCTCTTTGCAAAGTGGATATTTAGGTTTCCCCTTTCTATCCATGATGTAGTCATTTACTTAAAAATATTTATTGGGAATCTATATTGTACCAGACTTAAGTTTCTGCTACCTCTGAAAATAGAACAATAAGTAGAATAAATGGTCGGCCGCATCACAGAATTACAGTCAAATAAAGAAAACTGAGAACGGCTGATCCTGTGATCCTTTGATGGGGACATATGGTGCTACAGAAGTATATTACAGAGCCCCTAACCATGCCTATTTGGGCAAAGAGCTGGTGTAAGGGCAGGAAGCAGGATAGGAAAGCTTCCTAGAAGAAGAGATAATTCAGCTGAGAAGTGTAAGAGGAACAGAAGTTACCCAGGTGAAGAAGTAAAGAGTGTTCCAGGTAGAGGAAATAGCACTGCAGACCTCAAGGTCACGGCATCTTACTACAGTAAAACAAAATTGCCCTTCAGAGAAACAGCTCGTTGCTTACCTGGATGTATTAATTGGATATATGCTACATTCATGGCATATGTGTTCTTGGCTAAACAGACAAATGGATATAGATAAAATCTACTTTGAACTTCTGAAATATTAACCATTGTGATGACTGTACTTCTTTTTTTATTTGAAGGATTTTCCAGACTGTTCAAGAGAGAGTAAATAAAGTTGTGTAAGTAAATTGCATCAACCACAAGTAAGACAGGAATATCTGGTTTATTTCTTTACTGTCACATAAATTGCAGCTGAAATAATCACCCACCCCAACAACAGGCATAACAATCAGGCTTCTGGCAACACCAATCTGAGGTTTTATAGCTCCAAGACCATTATCAGTAGTAGACTCAGAAGCAGAGAAATCAAATTAAAATTACCAGCTTCCAAGGAGAAGAATATGAACACATACATTTTGATCACCATGGGGCATAGAGAAGAATATACTAAACAAGAGTAGGTTGGGGCAGATGACAGAGGTCTTTGCAGGTGATGTGAAGGAGAGAGAATAGGAAGCCAGTAAATCCTTCTCCTACAGAGACAGAGCAGAAAGCCAGCAGAGGCTTTGGAGCAGGGGCCTGTCTGATTCTTGACCCCGCTTAGTGAGTCTTTTCTAAACTACTTAAAAAACATGAAGAGGAATTCAGGACAATTGTTTTATTGGAATGTTGCAACATGTATAACTGAATTTAAGAGAAAGGCTTCTAAGTGGTCTAGAATTTGTACCACGATGGCATGTATTTTTATCTTAAATGTATAAGATCTTATAAATCCTGTTCAGCTTAGCAAAACTCAAAATGGGCAACAAAGGGTTACGACCAATCATCTACCCACCAACCTTCATTAATAGATTAAACATCAAGGTTGTATGAAATGTGACATGAAATTTAATCCAAGATTGACTGGCTCTTTGCAGACTTACATTTTATAATCTTCCACCAGCACCGGATTGTATTCATCAATGAAGGACCCGTTCCACTTCCAATAGACAGAGTCTTTCAACTGGCCAGTGACATTGCAGATCAATTGCATCTGGGATCCTGCAAAGCAATGTATTTTTAATCATAACATTAATTGACTTTTATTCTGATCTAGGTATCTATTTAGAATAATAAATGGCTATTAAACAAAAATGTTCAATTATAGAAAAGCATAAAGAAAAAAGAAACTCGCCCTTAAGCCCACCATCCAGAGATAACCACTGTTAGTGATTCTATATATCTCATTTCTTATCTTTTTCTGTGAACATATGCAATTTTTTAATGGGGTCATATTGCCTAGCATTTTGTAATTACTGTGGATGATGAATTTTGGCTCACATGATTAGTCTTCCAAAACAGACCGTTTCATGCCTGCTTAGTATTCTACAGTACAGATATACATGGTTAACTATTTTCCTATTGCTGAAGACAATTTGTTTCTAATTTTTCATTATGATAACTAATATACCAACAAACATTCTTGTTTATCAGTGTTTGTCATATCCAGAAGTATTACTTTGAATAAAAACCTGGAAGTAGAATTGAGCTAAAGGAGATTTTTAAAAAAGGAGATTTTAAAAGCCAAGCCCCCCTCTCTTAAGGGAGGCTATACCAATCTACACTCTGTCCAGCAGTGTTATGTGAGCACCATTTTCCCCCCAAAGCTCCAGATAACAGGCGTTTTTGGTCAGTCATTGCAGACTGAAAGAAGCAAAAAAAAAACCCATTTAAATTTCATCTGTATTTTTTGAGTTCATGATGAATTAACAGGTTTTTCATAAGCTGAAAACTGACCTCATTGGCCTTTCTTTTAAGAACTGCTCGCTACGCCTGCTGTCCATATTTAATTGCATCCTCATGTTCACCTTAGTGACACGTAGGAGCTCTTTATTCCTCAAGGTTGTTAACTGTCGTCATACGTGAAAATATTCCACATATTTTTCAGTTTGTTGCTTTTAAGTTTTATTTGTTTATAAAAATTCTTTGAGATAGATCT